CGCAAATATTAAACTATTTTAACCGTGCATGGAAATGTGCAAAGTTATAAATAATTTCTTAAAAATAGTTGGAATAGCAGCTTTAATCAAGCCAGAATTGTCACTTGACCTGAAGCTGCGCAGAATTTAAACGATCATGTCGCCAAAAAATTTGATCTGATTAGTCGCGCCAACACACATTTGCTCGTATTATTTCAGCAGCTATCACGGTGAACGTCTCGTCGCGATGCATGATTTACTATCACACAAGTTTGGATCTCTCGTTCCTTATTTCGTCAGTTCTCACTTTTTTTATTCGCATGTATAAATAAGACAGTCGCAGCCTCAACGGGTGTATAAACGGCCGTTACCGAAAGACGGCAGATAAATTTTCGCAGCATTTAAATCGGCTGCTTAAAAGGTTAATCTGCTACATAGCGGAGAATTGTAATTTATACATTGTAAATATTTCGTAAATTCGACATTTAACGCAGCAACACTCACCGGCGACTGACGAACTATTTTCAATGTCGTCAAAGTGGCAAGTTTCCGAAAAAGAAGAAAACAACGAAAGAGAGAATATGTTAGTTTATTCCCCTCAGAGTTTTATTCCACACCAGTGCAAAGGATAAAATGCACCGTTATGTAAAAACGCCACGCCAAAAGTCGCACCTGCGGACGCAAAAAGTCGCGTGCGACTTAAAGTTACATATAATTAAAAATCGAGTGTCAGCGGTATAAAATTTTCAAATCGCACCTACGATACGAAAATTTCGAGGCAATCAGTAATCGCACATCCGCCGCGAGTCCTGCGAGGAGGATCGCGATAGCCAATTTCATAAATCGCACAGCTCTGGCCTAACGTTCGCAGGTCTCGATGGAAGAAGCCTTGCTGAGTTCTCTCCAGCTTGGGCGAAAATAGCTGCCAATGCGCTTGCTGCGTTTGTCTCGAAAGGCGTCGAGATACAGCCGACGAAGCTTGACTTGGGATGAGCCGATCCTAGACCTAGAAACAATCGCCGAATCGGCCTTGAGCCACATACGGCCTGGAGCAGTAAAAGGAGCCGGACGGACGAATCAGCGGCGTGTCTTGATTGAAAAATTCCAATTTGCGACTATCGCGGCGATTACAGAACGTATCGTGCGAATCGGAGAGTCCTGCGACTACGATCCTTGCCAGTCGCTTGTAATTCTTACGGGAATGCGCGAGAGAGGCTGAATCTCCTCTCCCTTTCGCTACCTCAGCTACTTTGCCCACTGATGTTTGAGAGTCGGAAGGAGTTCACGAGGAGGCACGACTAAGGGTACGGCTCGTTAGACTTTTCCAAGCATTCTACTTGCATAATGACGGCATCAGTTCTGCGTAGAAAAGCGCTTCGATGTCTATATAAAGCGCCGGACGAACCGCACCCTAAAAGCGGCGCTCATGGTAAATCCAGTGCTACAACGAAACTGGAATGTGAGACATGTAAGAGTCGTACTTGTGCGTGTGTGTGTGTGTGTGTGTGTGTGTGTATGTCAGTATGAATATGCGAAATTGCTAATAGTTACGTAACAACTTTAAACTGTATAAAAATGGACTTTAATTCTGAGCGAATACATTGAAGTCCAAAAGTTTCAGATCAAAGGATGATATAAGGAGAAACGATAAAATGAATAAATCAAAACAATACAAGCAAGATGTATTCTTAATTTATTATAATCATAGAGTTATATACTGTTATATTAAATAATAAATTTCGTGTACCGGCATCCAATGCGCGGCCGTTGTAAGCCTAGAGCCTTACGCTCTAGGAATCTGATTTGGTCGGCAAGGAGCATTTGTAGAAGCTATCCGTTCGTCGAAGAAAAAACGTCGATATCGAACGATCATTACGCCGACAAGGGGCGGCTCGAAGACCAAGGTGGAATTTCTTTCCCCGTTCTTTTTTTCGTCTTACCGCATGACTCGGTGCTTCGCGACGGCTTGGCTATCATGATTGATAGTCACGAAGTCTTGTCGGCGGCGGATGGAAACCAAACCGAAGGATCTAGAATGTTAATGCCAAGGCTGCTTGGTCCATTGTCGAGAAATGCCATTGCCAAGGAAATCTAGTCGTTATTCTAACTCGTCGTTATTCTAACGATCTTATCAGCTGAACAGCTATAAGGAAACAGCGATCGGTTCGTTATCGATTCGCGCGAAATGATATAACACTCGTGAACGGTTAATATAATAAGAAAAGAAGAAAAGAGAGAAAAGAAAGAAAAAACGACGCACTCTCTCGGTAGAAGTAACGGAGCAAGAGCGAAGAATGGCGAAAAGAACGCGATTTGTGTAACACTGCCGATAATATGATAACGGCAGCACACTGAGAACAGAGAATAAATTCATATAATGAAGATAACGCAACTCGGCAACAACGGTAATTTTTTTTAGGATTATTCTGTATAATATCAAGGAGACTAAGCGTGGAAAAATTATCCTTCTCTGGAATAACCAAGTGATTAAGATAATTAAGCATTCGTACACCATTTTATGATCCCATCCGCGGGATGTTATATAAAAATTCTCGCTGTTCCGATGAGTAATTCATTGGGCGCATTGAATATGCGTTATCGTTAAAGTAAAGTGATGCCTCCGTTATATTCAGTCGCGAGATGCACGGATACTTTGAGATGCACTCGCAATTAGAAACACAATTCCCGCACGTGATGTTCATAAATCATTGATCAACAGATATCTTCGACGTTTTATCAACTCGAATAATTGTGCATACGATGCACCGTAGAACGAAAGGTTTTCTTCATCGGCGATTATTAGGCGTTATTTTCAAAGCCCACAGCGTTAGTGAGAACAATTTCTCGACGATCGCATCAATCTTCCTTGCGCAAATCAGTTTTAATGAATATCAGGTATCTTTCCAGAAATTAGAAGAATGTAACAAATTCGAATAAGATCGCTTGAGCAAAATCTGCTTATAAATCAGAAAAATGTAGAACACGATTGAAACCTCAAATATTTAATTTAATTATTAATTTATTAATCTACTTTCGCCATGAGGTCGCTCGATCGTCGTAATTGGGACGTTCACCCGCACGAATTCAAGGTGAGAGCGACAACTTGTGCCGCGAATGTACGCAGAATGTTCGGGAAATTCGAGCGAAGGTTTGAATCTCGGGTATTTCCGAAAATTCACTCGTCATTCGGAAAAGAAAAGTCACGCCCGAGAATAAAAGTCGGCTGACGATTTATGCACGCGGATGCGCGCCACGCGAGAAAAATAAGCGATTAATAACGGGACTAACCCGCGCGAGTTTTTCTCGGACGGTTAATTCATTGTTTCATAGATCGTAAATCCTCGATTACAGAGAACTATGCGAGATATTATTATTCTCGTGTGCCTCCGCGCGCGTAGACTTTAAATAATTCCACGCGTATCATTAAGCGGCTGTTGCGGCGAGCGGCAATTGTTACCGTCAAAGTATCGGAAGGTCAACGAGGCGCGGCAGGAAAAAAGCGGGATATTAATAAGCACCTTTTCATGTATACACAACGGATTCAGAAGATCTCAGACAGAAGATGCGCGACAATGAGGAAAATCCCCTATTCATTAACTGTAGTCTATAATCGGACGTAACGGTACGCGTCATTAAATTGTTCAGTTTAAGTATGACAAATGGTGCGTCACGTAGAATCCGTGGAACCCTTAGACACAATGTAGCTATGCTAAGCTGCATTGTATATGCAAAGTTACAGGATACGAAATCGTCTCCGGTGAGACGATGACGAGGAGTGATTTCAGAATTACACGAAGCTTACGAACGAAATGGAAAATATGTTGGAGTTTGTATATTTCTTTTTATTGATAAACATATGCAAGTCTCAAAAATCGTGATCTCGAAATTCAAATGGGGGCGGTAATTCCCCGAAATATAATTTCGAAATCATAATCTACGAAAACATAAATCTCCCGAGATATCGAAAGGTGTATTCTAAATTTTTTAGTCACTAAAGGTCAATCAAAATGAGTGAAAATGTATATGTGAAGCAACATTTAAAATACTATCATTTGGAATCATAAGAATGAAAATTTCATTCAGAATTGGAGTGCATTTTTTTAATCTATACAAATAAATGTTTTAACCAATTAAAGAGAATTCATTTTAAATCTCACATTCGCTCTTCAACATCGAGTTAAAATATTCACTCGACGATTCATAAAGGAGAATTCACTCGAATTCGATTCGCTCGTCAAACGAAACTTCACTCACGAAAATTTAAAAAATGTATGACAACGCAAAACGCTTTTATCTAAAAATGGACATGAGAGAACACAAAAATCGTGCTTTAAAAATCTCCCGCTTTAGGCGAACAAGTAACATCTGTTCTTCATCAATCCGTTACACGCGAACAACGCTTTCGTGTCGTAGCCCTTTTAGCATTTCGCCAAGGTTTCATCAACGCAAGATTGCAACACGTGAAAGACACAACAGTGAACAGAGAAACACGTGAGTGGACGCTTCGAAAAAATGTATTTCTCACGCTTATATACATAATGTACATTATCGTTCTTGCTTACGAGACGATTTTTATCCATCCGATATTCCCGTGTAAAGCACACGAGAGAAGAGGAATACATGTGATTAAGCGATAATTGATTATGTAAATAAAGCCAGTTTAATGATATATATATATATATATATATATATATATATATACACATGTATATAACGTAACATACACAGCATAAATTGCGCCTATTCTCCATAGGACCAGTTTTGTTCCTCTCATCTTTTATCTCTATCGTACTTCCGCTCATAATCTCTATCCCGTTTGCGTTAAATACACACGCAGTATATGGTACACGATTGTTGTAAACAACGTCGAACAACATGCTCGTTCTGTCTCGGAAACAACGTTTCGAATCACGCTGCTATCCAGGTTCATGCTCGAAATCTTCTTCCCGTCTGCCTTTTTTAGTCTTGTCATTTCTCGCACATGTATACAAAACACTATATTGCACGCTTCCAAGTCGATGTATGCTCTGTATCTCTTTCGACAGAGAGTACAACAGGCATAACGACGTGGAACTTCGATATATTCCAAGTGAATGCTCCAAAGCTCGAGAAACATGTTCGTCGCGTTTGACCGAGGCAGAACGCGCGTTTCGAACCTGAGTTCATATACAAACATCGTCGCGCACCTATTATGCATTAACAATCGATAAAAAATTCCTCGCAGTCGGCTCTCTCGATCCAATCAATAGGAATTAATTTTATTGTACACAATGGACTGACTGAACCACGGTCCGAGACGTTCTCCTCTTGCGAGAGTACGTTTCGGTTCACGTGAGTTTCTCGTCGCGACCGTTGTTCGACAATCGCCAAGCGCGCGTCTACGGCGATACGGCATAGCTGTGTGATTATATATTTTTTTTCTTTCTTTTTGCTTTTTAGTGATTGCATCGTTCCACTGATCTTCGTTCACCTGACAATCGCACAGTCCTTATCTCGCAAATAACTCCATCGAGGCTCAATGACAGAGTAAAAAACTATAAAACATTCGTCAAGCTTCTATCCATTCGTGGGTTCCGGAAAACCCGTCGCGTATTTTCGTGACATCTACGAAGACCGATGTGTTGTTAAGAAATGTTGTGAAGTTTACAATTTATGACACATACGCTTACAACTTAGAAACGTAGAACAAAGAGATTCTCTTGGTTTTCCTTTCTATTTTATTGACTGTAACAAATTAAACAATTAAAGCAGCATTTCAAACGATAAATCAAAAACACAGAGAACTCATGTACATGTCGATATACTTTCTTCATATAGATACAACGGCGAATGTCTTCGTTTTGCGGTTAAGCGTGGGCAAATTATGCGTAATAAAACAATAACAACGGAGAAAGAAGAGATGAAGCGAGCCGGAGGAATGTATAAACTAAAACACTGAACAGTCTGAGCAATAAATATCTAAGAATCACAAAACTAATATCGATGCATCGTAGGCAACGTAAGTCACTTTCTGCTTTGCTCCTTCCGAGTCGCGTGTACACTTACGCGGCGCATAGTAAACGATACTGCCTACGTAGATACAAACGCAAAACTTCCATTGAAAACCCATTATCTTTGGCTACTTCGGGGGTATGTTTATTTAAATAATTGTAATATCGTAATATTGTACAGCTTGAATTAGAGTACAAGTTGAGTGTTCGTAACGCATAGCTTCGCTTTACATCATGTGTTGCCCGTTCGGTGGAGCGTATTGCGGTTGCTGGTTTACAGACGGTCCTCTAGGTCCAGGCGGACCATACGGCCCTGGCATAGGGCCGGTCTGTAGTGGGTATCTGGTGCGTAACATGATGTAACATTATGTAAATGATCACTGCTTAATAAAACGTACCGTCTCCATAAGCAAAAGATTAAAAATTGCAAAAAAGGAATCGCGGAAAAATTCTCCTGTTAACGTCCGACATTACCAACGAAACGTAACGAGATGTCGACGAGAGATTACATCGTCTCGTAAAACACGAAGATACAAGAACATGAGAACGCATCGATTGAGAAACTGCGCACAACAGTGTTTCGTAATTTGTGTATAAGAAACGTCATGAGACCGGCAGATTGCATTTGTAAAGACCGGTTGCATTAATGTGCAATCGTGAACAGAAAGGTTGTCCGCTGTTTTTTGTAAGTTTCGGTACGCAGCTGTCTCGTCTAGCGGGACGAGATTTCTTTCCCAATCGAATAATCCTCCCGTTGGAGAAGACTGATGCGTTCGGAACTGGACTACAAAGGATAACGGACAAGCTTTCTGTTCATCTGTGATCGTAGAGTAATTATATACACTTGTACAACAGGACGATATGTAATATAATGCGAGAAAAACTATTAATTATAAAAATGAATGAGAAAAACTATGAATTAAAATGATATAAAAGAGAATGAGGATGAATAGACTCATCGTCATTGTCTAGCATACCCTTGCGGTTGATAAGGAAGGCTAGTTTGATCGGGCTGTGGTAAAGGCGGTCCTTGTGGATGTCCAGGCGGGTGTTGTTGCTGAGGGCCCGATTGAATATGAAAATGCGGCTGCGGTAGAGTCATATTTGGCATACTGGCGGGACCCATGTACTCGTTGCTCGGTATACTCGCGTTGTACGGACCAGGCAACGGGCCTGGACCCGTCGCCGCTCCAGTGGGAAACGGAGAATGCGGCATGCCGTTAAATATCTGTGGACGGGTATGCGCGTTACCGTCAGAACAGCCCCGCATCGTTCGAAGTATTGGAAACACAGGTGAGAACTAAATACGAATGTCGTGTAAAGCGAAGTACGCAGAGCAGCGTAATAGTCCTTGTGCATGAAATTACGCCGCTTTAGATTTTTTTCATTTGGAAATTTGTTATGTTATTTTAATACAGGAATATCAGAGATAAATATGTTAAACTAATGTTTCAAAAGCGAACTTACGTGTGGTGGTGGTGGTCCCGTATTGTGAAACGGATAAGGATTCATATGCGGCTGCATTTTAGGCAAGGTGTAACCAGAAGGCGTCGGCGGCGCAGGTTCTCGCATCAGCGTGTGATAGAGATTGAGAGCGTCCACCAGATCGGAGCTCAACTGAGTAAGCTGCGCGTGCCGCCTGTCTACCTTCTCCAAGGCCGCATCAATGAGCGGTCCCATCGCCGTGACTTGTTCTGCAAAATACAAAATGCGATTTCGCATGAGACTTTCCGACTCGTCGAGTTCCACCGTGCTCGTTGAGATACGCGGTTACCTTCTAGATCGAGCATCTCCTGAGGATCGGATGTATCACACTGTGGATCAGCTTCGTGAAACAAATGCAACAATCTGTCCATCTTCTTCTCGTCTATCTCGACCTCCACCACCTCCGGCTCACGTTTCACCATTTTTACTTCCACCTCGTCCGCAAATTGCACTAATTTTTTGCTACTATGTTCCAATTCTGTGTACAAGTGTACGTGTGTTGCTTTAGTTACGAGCGGTGAACTTGCACACTTGGTCGACTCCATAGTGTGTCGCAGAGAAGATTAAGTGAACTACATATATCTTACTTGTATATTCATCCGGTTCGACAGACAAATCAGCAGTGACGAAATTGGAGGGAAAAAGCCCTTCGCCCTTTTGATTGCTACCTTTCCACCAATTTGGATCCGAGTCGTCTAAAATATTAACTAAAAAACAGAAAGTTACAATTGATAAATTGTTTTCTGATCACCAACTACACATGATCTATTCATGTGTATTCATTACATACTTATTTCTCCTGCGAAAAATGTCAATTCATTGTCCTCTGCAGCCTCAAAGTCGTACAGAGCGCGCACTTTCCTACCTTCCGAGGTACTTGAACTTCCAAGCACAGAATTCATACTAGGATATAAACTGGAACTCTTTTTAGAGGCTGGCGAACTATGCGATGAAGTGCTTTGAGCATGCACCTTACTTTCTTGTAACGAGAGATGTATGGCTACAAAATATGAAAAATCAATTATTAAGTTATGTAGGAGAAATATGTTTGTAGGTGAAAAATATTATGATGGAAATAAGCTGGATTGTTACCTTTTGCAATGTCGGCTTCTTCTTGTGAATTTGTTACTACATTAGGATCCCTATTCGGAGCATTAACTTTCGGCTAAAAGACATTGTATTGCACGTGTGTAAAATATAACACAATAAGTTAGAAATCTTAAAATACCAATATATTAGATCGCTAATCAATTGATGCTACTTAAAATACATCCAACAGCTCAAAAAGCAAACAAGTAAAAAAGTGAAGTAAGTAAAAAAGATATGACACAAGTTTAAGAGAGGGAACTACAATATGCTGTCAATAATTGATAGTTTTATCTAACAGATTTGAATTGTGCAGCTCATCCTAGACTTGCAATTTAAAACAAATCACAAATAGTTTGTATCGATGGGATCAATGTGAATCAATGTAGAGACTTACTGACTCTGAGACAGAGGAGAAGTCATGGCCTTCACTTTTAAGTTTATTGTACAAACTTGGAATCAGATTCAACTGAGGGTCCGTTTTGAAGTCGCCTTCTGCCCACTTCTTCAAAAGTGCTTTCACTTTCTGCACAATTTTCTGCTGCGGATGATGAATGAGTTTCCTCAAGTCATTCTCAAAATCTCTAGATGCAATCTCCAAGTGAAAGGTCTTTCCACAGTTACTTGCACAAGCGTCCAACAACTGAATTGAAAATGAATGATTGTAGATTTGCAGCGGTACACTGGTAGGTGAACATCTCAGAAACAAAAGTACTAACTGTTATAGCTTGCACAACAACATGTGGGTCCTGAGAGTACAATCTCTTGACGATAGAACGTAAACAGTCCTTGGCTTTCTGTGTGGAGGTGCCCACCTTATCGCAGATATCCATTATCTTACCCCATTCCTCAGACACGTTGTTCTCGTTGGTTGCCTTTTCTGATGAAATGTAAATGTTTAAAGCACAGAGAACAACAGATCAATACTACAGATACAACAGGTACAAGCTCAAAAGTGCGCATGAATTAAGAATAAGAAAAAAAAAAAAAAAAACAGCCTCTCTGTAGAAAGAAACCGTGTCCAAGTAACGACTGAAACAATTGGAGCAGCAGATGCAGATAAGAGTACAACAAAAAGAGATGGGCGCTCTCTGTGGTCACACTATGACACTCCGAGTACCAATCAAAACACCAGAGCGCGAACTGATGATTAATCATCGTCGGAATTTCATTATCGCCCCAGTTGGCCTCATATCAGCCACTCGCGCGAGCACGTCAACAAGGGCAAATTTTCAACCGTCCAGGGGGGACGTTTCGCGAGCTCACGCACAAAACGCAACGATATAGTCGGAGGTCAAATGTCAACAACCGCTTAATGCGCTTAATATGAAGTAGACTGTCATCCGTGGGCCGGGCGACGACGATTCACGACGATTCCTCGTCGTGAGTCGCCGACTAAGACGCGCTGGACGGTCGCACGTCCAGCTGGAATTGACGATTCGCGTGACGAATTCGAGCCAGACGACTGAGCCAAGTCGTCGCGGTCGTCGTCGCGGCGTAGCGTTCTCTACTCACCGACTTCGGCGTCGAAAGGCGAGGAGGTCTGGAAGAGACCCATCATCGGCGGCTTCTTCTCTCCCGTTTTCTCCCCAACGGTGGATCTCTCTCTTTGCACTTCCGCTCGACGTAGCCGCGCACACGTTAGCACACCGTCACGGTATCGCGCTGCGCATCCAGCTGGTATTTACTCACAAATGCGACCAACCGAGTGACTAATAACATTCTAATCTACTGCACCGACGGACATCTTTGCAGTCCTCGACCTGCCAAACTAATCGATACATCATATCGCGACCCCTCGCGTCGCCTCGACGATGAGGCAGATTTGAGTTTAGAAACGTGGGTTGCTGTGGTAACTTCACACGAATATTCGCGAGAATTTAGTCGAAATTTGCGTCGACGTGGATGTCACCGGTAAAACGGATTGATTTTCCGCAGGGAGCAGCATTTCTGTCGTAGATGCGTGCGTCACTTGCGACTTTAACGCAATAATATATTACTGCGCGCTTGGTGTCGGTAAGAAGAGCAGCGTCGCGAGAATCGATATATCGAACATGGTGGATGCATGACGTGCGCGCAAGAACGCAGCTGTTTAAAGGAACGTAATCCTTTGGAAGACAGATAACAGAATTATTCTTGCGGAAACAAATTAGGTGCTACTCGACGGTAGTGCTTCAATCGAGTAAAAACATGTTACCAACAGAACTGATCTTTACCCGTGAAATTACGTCGCACTGGCGTTACAGCAATATTGGCTAAAATGACAATTGATCTTACGTAATCAGACTACGGGCAAAAATAAATTGGAACGGTACTCGATGTGTAATGAAAATGATAAAAGATTAAAAAATTGACATTTTCTTTGATTATTAATATTTTATCACTTTTACTCCCTGAAAGCATGCCCTTTGGCATCCTTGGCACCCCTTTGACAGTTGACAAACTGTCAAAATACGAAATAATTTGCCTCAATAATAACAAGATAATATTTTACGGAAATCTATTTGTTTCTTGAGTAAGACGAAAATTGTTTGCATATATAATTTCTTCGCTACATAAAACATTTTCTTCTGAGCGACTGCTCTGCCAACTAAACTATCCAAACAAACACCACATTTCGATGTCTCCTCTTTTACGCGAATTGTCGCAACTTTAAAGTCGCAAGTAACGCACATATATTCGAATACAGACAAATACCGGTAACAAAAATATAAACCCTTTGCATTTTAAATGCAAATAAATATTATACAAGTGAGAGGAGAATAACTCTTAATAAAATAATAGAAAAAAGAGGCAGTAATGAGTCTCAACGTGACTAATCGTTAGCGATCGAATTATTTTTGTAATTTAATTTAATTTTGCAATAAGTAATATTTATTTATTTATTTATTATTGTAGGCACATCCGAGGAGAGCGAGTGACAGAAAGTAACACGTGCCGACGACGAACTTTACGTGCGCATAATGACTCCAGCGTATAAACAACGTCCGCCGTTTCCAGCGATTATTTTTACCGCGATTGAGGGAGAAACGACCGGCGACCGGCGACGATTAGAGGATCGTGGTGAAAAAATCGCACGAATGTCAGAGGAAAGGAAGCCGCGCTGCGGTTTCGTCAACAATTTCACGTCCACCGGATGGCTTGAGACCTTGACGGGAGAAGCGTGCGCGCGTAATCTCCGCATAATGCACCATCAGCGTGTCATCATCGGGTTCGTACGGGCAAATTATGGCGGATCAACGGCGGTGCTTGCTTGCCCTCTCTCTTTTTTTCTACGACGGTGAAAATTGCCGCGCTCGTGACTTTGCGTAACGACGCAAAGATTAATCGCGAGATGCAATCGCGCGGCCCGATAACGGAGGCTGATTTGAACGCGAGCGAATTACGCCGTTACGCATACGCGGTCAACGACGTCTGGCGATGTCTTTAGCGAGCTTTTAGTCGCGAAGATTATCGCCGTTGCAACAGCCGTCTCGGTCAGCTGTTGTTCAATCTGATTACATTGCCGAGCTATTATTTTAACTTTTTTCCTTCTTTCCTTCGTCAATCGATCTAGATGGGAATCCTCTTCACGTCCTTGGAAAATCCTCAGATTGGAAATTTCTGACAGTGATGCGACACGACGAGTATTACCCGTTCCCAATTCGTGAGCCGAAACGAGCGCGATGAGGAAGACGAGCGACGGAAGCGTCGGCTTTCGTTGTTACTTGTGGAGCAGAAGTGAAAGCGCGCAGCGCGGTCGTCCACTTAATTGCTATCGACTCGAGATTATTGTTAATAACAGATATTTGTTAATAACACCTTGACATTTGTTAATAACATCTGTTCACACTCAGTAGGTCGATTTATGCGCGCCTCAAAAGGCTCAGACATCCGTCATTTCGTCTTTCTTCTCTCTTTCGCTTTCCTCCCTCGATCGAGTGCGCCATTTAGCTTCTCCGTCGCGTTCGGACGACCGGTTAATTGGAAAGTACGGCGCATTGCGACGCGATATTATTGCGATGCGATGTAGCCACGACGACGGTGTATACGCGCGGGCTAATTACCCGCGCAATTACCTTAGCGACCGAAGAAATCCGCGAAGGTGGTGCAGTCGCGCAGACCTGAGGATCCCCGTAAGAACGTCGCGAGCGCGCGTTCGTGTTTCCCATCGCGACGGAATTATTGTTATTTAACGCATTGCGTCACGTGGAATTATCTCGTTAACCGTCAAGATGGACGGGCCGGCGTCCTTTCGCCCAATCTTATCGGCGATACTTCGGTAACTTCGAGTCGCAGGATCTCGGCAGTCCGGTCGTTGATAAACCGAGTTAATACGCTTCGTCATTAGAAAAATACTCTTCAGTAAAAAAATCTCTTCAGTATTGTGCAGAAAGCGTAAGCAAAAAGTTGGTCAAAAAATTGATCAAAAAGTTCAACCTTCCTAAAGATTAAAGAATTTGGTGAATTCATTTAATTAATTAATTTGGTTTAGGGAGCCCGCGCGCGAGACGCCTGATCAAGTCTTGCATCCTACTAATTGCAAGGAGAATTTTCGTGCACGAGAAGTACACGCATAATCCTTTCCTTGTTAAGAAGCACTACTTCCGCTCCCTTTCATCCAAGTGAAACGCTTTTTAACGAGGGTCCGTACGCCCGTACGAAAGGAGGAAAGCCTCTTTTCCCATACGCGATATTCGTACACCCACATACACAATACTTTTGCATGGTGTGATGGCGGCATGGCAGATGTCTCAGCCGCGATAAGTTTCGCGGACATTGTGTTGTCGCCTTGCGTAACGCGGCTCACTTAATGTCTTAATTGGTATCCGCCGGATTGAGAAGCATTATAACACCGTCGTTTCGTAATGTCAACATCCAATATGACAGTGATGCTGTCATGGCGATCGTATGCGGTAGAGAGTGGACCGCGGGATGCCGCGGAAGGCAACGGCATGTAGCAGCGGTTGATGGTGTCAGCGCAAGGACCTTGCGATTACACGTGTCACGTATGACACTTACAAAGTAATCCGATAAAATATGAGAGAGTCAGGGTATTTGTGAACCTGAAAACGCAGTCAATATGCTCGCAGGAATTTCCGTCTCTGCTCAGTTATTCAGGCTAGCCAGAACAGTTTTGCAACATGGTCTTGAGAGCGAACGCACGCCAACACTTTAACGCGCGATACGCAATGGAATGTAAATGATGATGGAAAATTATAGACATTGGCTTAATCTTTTGCCGTCAACAACGCTTTGCGGTGGTGACGTCAATAGCATTAACATTACACAGCGTCACACTGTCAATATTTAATAATAATAATTCAATATATAAATATTTAACAATCGTATTATCGACATTAATATAAAAGTGAGCAACTTTATAAATATTTAATTATCTTGCTTTCTCTCCTCAACATCGTGATCAAACGCTAAACATGTCGTCGAGATCTTTAGAATGTGTCATCCATGTTCCTTTTGTCCCAAGGTTTGTTTCATTAAACAATGGCAAGAAATGGTCTCGTCGAAAACATCTTGGAGAAAGTTGACTGTACATTGACCGAAGAATCTACCATTAGAATCAAGGTCACCGGCTGCTTGTACAGGTACCCCAAATTCAATCAAACACCAGCGGAGTTTTTCGCCCCACATGAATCCTTCTGCGATGAATCCTTCGGGCGATTGGCCCGAAAAGAAAGGAATTCGTCGTGCGCGCGATCGAGAGAGTGGAGAAAGGTGGCTGATGCGAGGTTGGACGCGTTTTCGTCGCCTGCGGCTATCCCGGCGCGAATTTTGCCGCGATTAATCCGAAAGCAGCGGTCCATGACAAAACATATCGACGTCGTCGATCGGACCACATCGTACGTATCGCATTGATGATTTTGATTCCCTAACGTAATAACGTAATAACTCCTTGCGCCCCTTGCGTACGTCATTAGTCATCTTGTTCTCTGCACGAGTCTCCTGGCTCTCTCTCTCTCTCTCTCTCGAGAGAGAGAGAGAGAGAGAGAGAGAGAGCCACGCTCCTACTTCGCCACAGCTTCGATTCTACGATCTGTTTTCGTTGCTCGTAATAGCAGGCCTTTCGCAAGGCTTGTACGTCGATTTTGCATTCGTACTGATATGAGATCGTGATCCAGCAAGAGTCATCTCATGCCCACCCAGCGGATTGGTTCATTCAGCGACGGTGACGACGTGACTTCGCCGAAATTACGAGGGTTCGAGTGCAGCGAAATTACAACGGTACGTGTATGCGGCGATGGTCCCATTGTGCGCACGACGCAAGGTACAATCGCGGTTAAGCGAAATAACGCGAAAGTACCAGGCGCAATTTGCAAGTTAGGTAACGCGACGACACGCTGCACGGACGTTATTGATGGGAAAAATAACGCTGAGGGGAGTGCGATGAGGAATACGACGTGTCGACGATAAGTGGATAATATACCATCCTTTCTTACAACATAACCACCACAATTTCCTCGATTATGTCTCGTCGTGCACTGTATCGATTTAGTGGCATAATCGCACGCCGGTGAACGGTGTCCACCGTGTACTTTCGCGCGAATCTATTTCTGCATGCCTTCGTGTCCGTCCATTGCCTCTCGCAGCCGGAAGTCCCGACAACGATCGATCGAGCGTTTCTACAGGAAAAAAGGAAAGGAAGAGAGAAATAATCCGCGATGACACAACTTGCCTACCGATACCTGCTAGTTGCACTCGTTACTGCGACTTAATTATCGCTTTAATTACGTAATAATGATAATTTTATTGTAATTCTTTTTTATACTAATTTATAATTGCAGTACAAGCATCGGTGTTGCCGATACAATCCGAGAGAAAAATTGTGCGGGTCTTTCGACAAGATTTGAATTTAATTTTCACTCGTCCGAATGAAATTCTTTAATTTACGATTTGTGAAAGTTGCGTCTCTTATAAGTAAGTGATTCGCACACGGTCTCTTATGTATATTTACATAAATTAACAAGATAGAAAAACCAAGAAGAAATTAATTGGTAACTGAATTATCGAAACTTAACTAAAATGATATGTCATGTCCGCATCAGTAGAACAAAATGTTCGTTATTGTACGATGTAAATTAAATAATTTATTCGATACAGTATATTTTCCCCGTAAACGCAATAAAAAATTTCCAAAGTCCATCTAGCCAGTTGGAACGGCGCCGAACGATCGCTTCAAGTTCGAAGACATCTGACAATCAACGACAGCTGACGAGTAAGTAGCGTGCGGTATCAGTCAGGTAATTGCATCAAGTCTATTAAGCACAATCACTTTTGTTCCGACGAGCGTCCCAACTTGGCGATTTCTCTCGTTTTCTACGCTTTGGCAAAAACACCATCGCGCGTCGCGTTGCCAACCGGTCGCTCCATGCGTTCCTCAATCTTTTTCAACGTGAAAGCTCTTATGCAAATCCTTGCAACGAGCCGTCGTAATGCACCGACGGGGCCGTAATCTCCCCTGCGTGTAGAGAATAATACTCCAGATTGGCGAATTCGCACCAGGCAGGAGCGCGCTCGGACGGAGAACAAAGGGAGGGAGGAGTGAACGCGACCAAGAAGTCCGTCGCGACGGCGTTAATAGCGAGCGACGTTTCCGCGATCCGAGCTGCGGAATAAAGTACGAAGTACTTGCTGTACCCGCGCTATATTATATTATCGGAAACGCGGGCGCGCGCGCGCGAAAAAGACGGCTGTAAAACGCTACGTCGCGCATTTGCTCGCGCTGTGGAACGCGACAGACCCGGAGACGGAACCGTAATGGACCGACGGGCCCATTCGAGCGGCCCACTCGATCTCGATCTCGGCGGTATTAAGTAATCGCGTCCACCCGCATCGTGTATGTTCCGACCGAGGGCTTTCGCACACAGACACAGGGTGTTAACAAACGCACGACAAAATGTCACTTTTGACACTCCCTTAAATCGTCAAATTTTCCTTAAATCCCATGCATTTTTATACTTCGTTCTCTTCCTTTATATATTTCAGATATCTATAATTTGTCAATGTTTAATTTTAAATATCTACATATAATTATATGGCACGTATTATAAATCCGATTTATGTAACATCAGCTTCGGCGGTGACTGTCCGCGTAACCCGCGCGTGAATGAATAATTCGAAATTCAAAATGATTCCGATTTCACGCCCCCTCCCGTCGCGACACGTTACGTGGATAGTCAACAGTTAGCATATAGAAGTCGTCTGCGAGATTTCACTCGAGTCGCCTCCTCGCGCGCCGTCACCTCACGTCCGTCGTCTCGTCTGCCGGTCTCGCCGGTTTTTCTTGCGAACGATCCTCGCTGTTTCGTAAGTTCGGACGCGTAATCTATTAAACTGTAGCGCACGTAACTCTCCCTCAATGCGCGCGTGTAACCTTATGCATGTAAGGCGGAATCTTGATCGTGAAAGACTGCTCGCACTTGACACCACGGGTGTAACTCATACGCAAGCAGCGGAGATTTTCAAGAGAACCTGTCGTCGTCGTCAGTTTACGAACGGCGCAAATTAACTGTAACTCTCGCCGAAGATTAGCCCGATCTCCGAGCCGAGCTACTTTTTTCTTCCGCTTTGATATTGCGAGTCGCCGCAGCATGACGCACGTTTCGTTTCGTTTCTGCCGATTCCTTCCGACTCTCGGTTTATGTCATCGCACGCGAGAAAAGAGAGATGGGGAAGGGGGAGAGAGAGAAGGAGAGAGAGAGAGAGAGAGAGAGAGAGAAAGAGCGAGAGCGAGAGCGATCCCTCTCTTTTTATCTTCGTTCGATCGATATCACGTCGCGTATCTCGCGTACGAAAGCGGGAGGGAAAATAGCGAAGGAAGAAGTGGGTTCCTTCTTTGTTGACGTTCACCGAGACCGTCTTACCTGGCTGTCTCCCACCGCGGCGGACCGCAGGAACTCTTCCCTCGCCGGAGAAGTAAAACTCTCGGACGTTTTCCGATCTCCAACAGTCCCGGACCCGTTCTCGCCGTCGACGTGTGAACTCGTTAAGCGGCCGGCAGCTGACGTATCCTCGTTCACCCTCCAGCAGCTCTCGCCTCTTCCCGGACGCGGACGAGGAAGGAAGGCTCGAATTACCTGATATCCTGGAAGACGCGAGCAGCATCTTTCCCCTCTGTCTTCTGTCTATCTCTCTGTTTCTCTCTTTCTCTCTCTATCGCGAGATTAGAAGCAAGCACAATCGACGAGATCGCGAAGACCGAAGCAGGACGATAAGACGACTTCCGCATCTGATCGCACCGGACGAGATCAGTGGGAGAAGCGAGTTTCCGTTTCCGAGGATCGTCATCTGGCTCATTGGCTGCCGAAAGTACCTCGTCAACACCGATACCGACGAGCAGGAGCGACTCTGATGTACCGGTGGTGAAACTCCCGCAGAGACGGATAGCAGCAGGTGCTTCGCCGTTGTGTGAATCGTCGATCGAGATCCCGGCCAGGAAAGTTCACCGGCGTGATGAGGCGGAAATATCTCTTGTGTTTGCTGTGGGCCGCACTGGTACTGAGGTCGGACGTCTTCGTCGCCGCTGAAGCCGACCCCGCGATTTTGAACGGCCCCGAATTGCCGCATTTGCAACAGGTGAGTTGCTCAACTCTAAATCTGCTTTTACACATTCGGATTATTGACACGATTGCTGTGAGGATTGTTGCTGTCATGACGCTGCCACACGTCTCGCTACACGGGGAGAATTCGATGGTAATAATTGCCAGTTAAATTTTGTGATCGAGGAACACATCGACATTTTGCCTTAAAGTATCAGTCTTCATTTACATTTTGGAAACTGGAATATACTGTTGGAAAATGTATTATGCAACTTAGCGAGAAATATTTTCTTGACAACTTATCCCGGCACTATATGAAAAAATAGAATAGAATTATGCATAAGATTCGATGTGTAAAATTTTGTAACCGTATCGTTGTGATCTTTTGTAATTTTTTTTTTAATTTCTGAACTACTATTTTTTAATCGAGCAACGTGTTGAAATTTTGTCTTAATTTATTATTTTTCTCCTTCACGCGTACTATTTATATATTTAGGAACTGGGATCTACTGACGAAAAATTTACTACTCTTCGTAACAAAATTTATCATGTTGCGTAGCAAAATAAATTTGACAATCTCTATTGACAATTTCTGTGTGACAATTACACAAATTCTTGTAATTTATACGTGAGACAGTCAATTGCATGTAACAAATTAAATATCCGATTAATCAAGAGTCAATGACACGGGATAAAAAATGTACGTGTCATGAGTTACATTTATTTATTGTATTCTTGATTATTCAAACACTGATTGACCTTAGAAATAATCAATGCGAGTCGTAACGCGGGACACGACGTGTCAAACCAGAAAAGCGAATTCCTTAATATTTATCTGCAACCTATCGCACATTTGATCACGTGGTTGCGATTTGAAGAAACCACCGAGGAAAATTCGGCGCGCCGTCAAGTGCGATTTGCCGAATTTCGGGAATTACTTTCATTTTTCTTTAATGAAGCCCATCGCGCCGCCGTAGCTTTCTCCCGTGTCGAAACTTTCTTCGAACGGCCTGTAAAAAATTTACATAACGGAAGCGTAACGGAGGACGCGAGATGGGATTTTATCATGGAACGTCTTGAATTATTCCTCAACTGGACACGAGAAGAGATCGAACCTCGTCCCACGCCTTTCATCTCGAGTCAATTTCGCGACGAGATAGCGACACGTTGTCGCGGACTTACGTATAATTTTCCATTAAGCCGTGAAACAGAGGAAGACGATAAAGACGATATACTCGCGATACAAACGAAAAAAAGAACAAAATATAAAGCTGCGTCGTTCGAACGCATTTCGATCGACAGGCGGGAATAAACGCTCTGTGATAGAAGTTACTCGCAGTTACTTCACAGTACATTAATTCGCGTATCACGAGCCAGAGATCTCACGGCGATTTCATCGCCGATTCCTAAGCTCATTTTCGTATAAAGTCGGTGGCCTGTACGACGATAAATTCGCCGTACTGACGAAAATCTGAATATCGTCGTTTGCAGAGTTATCGCCGAGACGGCGCTTGCTGTCTAAATGAATTACACGAGCCGCGGAGAGCGGCGGTGAAAGCAATCGCTTCATTATCGTATGTTTTATCGTCGTAAAAATGTCGTCCACGGAAAAGTCGTAAAATTTGCGCTATCGTAGGAAATCTCCGCCGTTACGGCCGTTGGCGACAACAGAGCGATTCGGCTTTGTGGCTAATTGCTGTGAGAAATTCACCCGATAGACAAATTTCTCTATTCGTAAAATAGACTTTTGATATAATGAAGGTAAAGTGCTTCCCGCGTGGAAGAAAGTACTCTCGCAAAGTATATTATTGATAATTATTATACACTATCAATTACAATTATTACATTAATCGTGTCGTTGATTGTCACTTGACCGACCTTCCTCAAAATCATTTAATTAATGAAGGAATACAGACAACGAGCTCGTTTTCAATCTAAAAAAAAATGCTGGTAATGATAATGAAATAATAATTAGCTGAGTATTACACTTACGATCTTATCAAGCGAATGAGAAGGAAAATCTTAATTGATGATGAGAGACTGAGATAAATAAATAAATATATAAATACATAACTACATAAATCATCACTTATAATTTAAGTGGTGATTCACTCAGACAAATGGAAAGAAAAAAGAAAAGAACCGCAAGCATTTTCACTCAGACGCACTTTGTGATCTCGCTAATCTCCCGGGTTCCATCATCATCAATCTCGCACGCATTTCCGCGACGTGTCGTCCGACGTTCGATTGGATTCGTTTCGAAATTTCTCTGGAGATCGGCGCGATCCGACGCGCGTATCGCCGCGGGCACGCGAATCACCCTGGCGAGCGAGTATGCAGATTTAATGAAACCGCGCCGCGCCTGACGTAATCAGGCCGTTGCAGCGCGCCCGTTGCATCGTCTATCTTCCTCGACGATCACTGTGAGATTTCACTGGCGAGGCTGCACACGCGCGAAAAAACGGCCGCGTCCCGCGTCGGATCGCGTCGCTCTTTCCCGCGTTCTCATTCGTAGGCGAATTTCGATCTCGCGCGAGATCGTTTACGGTTTCATCCTCGCAAGTTTTGCTATTCCTTCCCCTTCGTCCCCACCGTATGCTGACGTCTTTTTCATTGGAACTGCAGCGAGAAACGAAGGATCGCTCTCGTGGAAAGCGGTACATCCACGCATTGGAATAACGCACTTTACTGACCGCGCGGCGCGACGCGGCGCGGCGTGTATCCATTCACTTCCGCCGAGGTACGTGCTTTCGCGGAAATGACGGAGACGTCGCCCCGGCCCGGCCGATCGTGTAATCCGGAACATTTCTTCATCTCCTGCCGAATGACGATTTGGTTGTTGTTGATTATCCGAAGCGCACGCGGTAGTGAGGCAAGAGAGACCGTCGCGCGACATGCACGAAAGTAGAACCCCAGCAAGTGCTTACCCACTGACAGAGTGACTCTTGACCCTCTCTTTACCATCTCTCGGCGTACCTCTCTCTCTCTCTCTCTCTCTCTCTCTCTCTCTCTCTCTCTCTCTCTCTCTCTCTCTCTCTCTCTCTCTCTCTCTCTCTCCCTCTCTCTCTCACTTCTGCCATGTCCTCTTCTGGACCGATCCTTCGTTCCGCGTATGTCTTCTCGCCGGCAACTCGTTCTAATTGCCAGGTTTCCCCGAAGATAATCGACCTCCCCGCGAATGAATCGAGAGCGTTCTTCGTCGAGCTGAAGTTCCACGATCGAACAGACGCTTCTCGACGAGAGGCGTGTTGCGAAACACGAGTCGCGATATCTTCGGCAGAAATACATTTTAAGAAAACGTGGAAATCTCGAATAATGCTAGTTACCGACGATGAAATCTGCGACGACGTATTTCCGATAAAAACAAAATTACATCACTCGATAAAAGAAAGTGAAATTTGCCGTTACGTTATCATAATAAGAAAATACCAAATCGCGCTCTATCTAATAATATCCTGATTTTTTTTTTTTTTTAAAGAAATGAATTCGATACCTCCTTGCTGGTCGAAAATGATGAACGCAGCGCTGTGCGCGTCGGCGACTTGTCTCTACTTAATTGACAAAGGAAGATATTCTTGAACTAATTGCCATTAATTGAGGGTACATCGAGACGCATGGCGATCCAAACGATGTGGAACGTATCCGATCGCGGGAACCTTTCACTCGAGCCGCTGAGAAAATACGCGGGTTTCCATGTATGGCGCGATGGGGTATTCCACGCGCTTGTAAGAGGAAATATGAGAAACATCCAGTTAAAACGTGGCTTCCGGTTTGTCTCCTCTTCCGAGATGCTCGAGCGAGATGTACGCGCCGTGTACAAACGCCGCCGTACAAACAGAGACTTTCTAACGGCGAGCAACATGCGAGAAAACGCGTATTCTCGTTGCGCCGGAAGATATCCTTGACCACAAGGATTCGACATATAATATCGCGACGGTATGCGCTCGTTCGAGCGGCATAATCGATTATTTTTGTCATTGCTACTTAGCGCAGCGGAATGACACCTCTTTCGAGCGCAAAAACAATGCAACGCACTTGCGGTCGTATAATTAAGATTCAATAAAATAAAACAGCATGCGGGCGCGCGATTTCGCCGAGGGAGAAATAAGCAACGCCATAATTATAGCCAGAAAAGACGCGTACGAGGAAAATTGACAGTCACTCGCATTGATCCTGTCTACGATTAAGATATAAAACACCACGATAAATGACTACGATAATCCTGACGTCTAATGATCTAGTGATTGCTCGGAACTGTTCCTGTGCGGACAAAAGAAACTTTGAAAAATCACGATGATTTTTAGCTCGCGAATTATAACTAAAAAGGTGGATAAAAATAAAAAATTGGGCGTCACGCCCAGATTTATCGTAACTTCCTCAAGATGTATACCGCATCGAGCGTATTCTTACGCGGAACTTTCAAGCCTCTTTCGATTCTCATTGGCATAAAACATACGGTTAAAATGTATACTTATTTCGCGTCAAAAATAAAGAGTTACCTGTCGGAAGAAATTTATCCCGCGACCAAAAAGTAAACGGCTTCCCGAGCGCGTTTACGCACACGGCTTTCCCGCGATTTACATAAGAAGGGTGCAACTCGCAATTCGCAGGACGTTACGTCGCGCTTCACTTTAGAAGACAAATCCAGCGGCAGAATTTCACGCACTTGTAATTGCACGTACAAATCGCCAGCGTTTTTCGCCGTGATTTTCCGACACGCGTTAGAAATCGCCTTTGAATCGCAGATACACGCGGCCGCCCGGCAAGCATGCAAATGCGATTTTCCCTCATCGTTCACCCGTTCGTTGAAATGTTGCTGGCCCGCTGAGATGCTCCTTATTTCACATTCCCTTCTCGCCCGATAACGGGCATTCAGAGCGTATCGAGCACGCATGAAGGGATAAAAAATTTTCCTTATAAATATACAGCACGTTGCGAGAAAACACGAGATGATAAAGATATTTTACGTACCAAGACAGCGCGTAAACTGCGAACGAAGTATTTACCTTAAAATTCAAATCGTTTTCTTAAAGATAT